CCCTCCCCCAAATCATCGGTGAACGAAACTGCGGCAGCTGCAACCACTGTACGACGAGTACGCGGTTATTACAGCTGACAGTGATGATGTTGATGATGCTCAAAGACTTACTTCCTTTAGTGCGATGTGGAGCACATTCTCATGTCTCCATTTTGAACGTCTGGAGGTATCAACGCATGCCGCTCCTTCCCTAGGAGGACGTCGTTAGATCCTCCGGTGATGTTACCGCGACCGTTACCAGGTCCTCACCTGGTTTGAACAGGAGGCCGCAGTTCGCTCAGTTCAGTAATAAAAAGTGAAAAACGATCATATCTGTTAAACAGCCCGTACTTTATCAAGTGAAGTGCTGGGGTTTCTGTAGTCCACTCCTATGCAAGCTCGTCTCAGAGGAACCCCTTGAACGTTACTTCTTACCCTTTCGGACAACTATTTAAGTCACACTTGTCGAGAAACAGGCTGTGACGCGGAATGGTTGCGGACTTCGTTTCTTCACACTCTTTTCCTTCCCCCCATAGAAGAGTAACTTAGTTTTGGTCGTGCCAACAGACCGGTGAGCTCGAGACTGCTCAGTGGTTAAGACACGAATTTACTGAACAGAAAACCCATCGCTCGAACTTGACCTCGGTATCTCGACCGATTCTGTTCAGACCCGGGTAACCCGACACTATATTAGCCCCTGTGCTTCCTACCGGTGACATATCAGCCAGGATTTTGTTTCTGTTCTGTCCTGTGACAATGAAGTAATACCGTTTGTCCGCTCTGTGAATTTCATTTCGTTTCTCATTGACCTTCTCGTCCACTTCAGTCTTCTAGTGATTCGGTCAGGAAAGCAATGACCGAAACCAGTACGGTTGGTACTCGCTTCCTCACATCGTCTACTTGTCCATCGTCTTATTCCAACTATCGCCCAACGCACGACTCGAAATCCTTGAAAAGAATGCAAGACGAGGAAGAAGTCAATCGTAAGGTGATGGAGATCCTTCGGCGGATGACCGCGCAACAGTCGGACGACACAAGTAGGTTTTCGTAATTCCAAACTGTTGTCATTACCTGGCTCTGTCATTTGTATTATACTGTTTCATGTATTTAAAAGACACCGAGGCTAAATGCGACTAAGTACCCAGAGAGAGAGGGGGGGAATTAACTGTTGGTCGACCATCGTTGGGTACGCTCCCCTGGGGTTTTCTGCGCGTTAGCAGCATTGAAAAGTGTTCAAGATCGATGGGCGCACCCTCACATAGAGAGGAATTACCATTGTTTCTCTGCCACAATTCCGCAGAAGAATATGATGTTCTAGCTAGACACTACTGATCAGCCTGTAACCCGGCTGACAGTACGGTTGAACACTATGATAATGCGCAGACTATACACTGGTGCCTACCCCGAGGTGGAAATAGACGAACTAGTCAAAATTTTATCCATGTGCTCAGCAACAGCTTGACAAACCAGTTTACTTAGATTTCATGCGCGATGGGCGGTATATGCTAATCAAACCTCACTCTGTGGCGCCCTTTTTACTCAGCCGTCTCTCTTTATCACTTTCGTTGCTTTTCAGCTCCTTTAGTGCGCATTCTTATATACTCTGATCTGTTTTCTGGTGTCACCAATCTTCGTTTTACCAAAACGGTCATTTTTCGTACACTACTGGTACCGCTATGGTGAAAAGTATTGTCCGTGCGCGCACCTCGGTCGCAGAATGTATTACGCAGCCCCTCAATAACCAGTCCATAGACCAACCTCTTCGTTTGTAATTTCGTCTCCACAGCTGATAGAATTTCACTGGTTTTGAATTGATTTCTTGCGCACACCCTGTATAGATGTTCCTCACGAGCACAGTGAACTAGTTTCTAGGTTTGATCGTAATTCTTATTTAGGCGGGACGGTCCGACCACCAAGTTAGGGCTTGCGCCTGCGACTCGCTCTAGTTTGGTAATTTAATGGAAATTGTTCTGTTTCCACAAAGGAAACTACTCACAAGGTTGCTGAAAACTCCTCGACAGCCCACGACCGGTTTCGCCCTTCTTGGGGCTAATCTACTATCCGCGGTAGTATGGAAAACATGTTCAAGTAGATCAAAAGGTTGACGAAAACTCGGGGACTGCGCCTACCTGATATCGCTATCACTTCCTTCACTTTTCCCTTCAAGTTCTCTACTGTGTTACTGTTGCTTTCACACTTCCAAGGAAAGTGTTTTGGTTCTGGCCCTGTATATTCCAACGCACTGTCCTAGTTGACTGCATTTGGCCACGATTGAGCGTGACTCAAGGTGTGAGCAATGAGGTACGTCGCATTTGCAAATGAGTGTATTTCTCGAAATGGTTTTGTGTTCATGGAGCCTTCTTCGTCCATCCTTGTATCAAGTTTCTTCTATATAGTGTAACTACTTCAACCAGATAGGCTTGCTGCTTGTGATAATCGTGATTCAGCTCTTCTTAGTCATCAGTTTCACTATCATCTGCATTAGCATCGTAATCTTTCACAGCTTCACCAGTGCCCGATGCCAGTTTTTCCGTATCCCATAACTGTATTGTGATGATAACGATCACTCAATTGTGCTCTGATGTTCATGCACCCGCAAAAATTCACTCGACCAATCGGGATATGAGCTATCAAAATGGAAGCCGCTACTGTGGATTCGCAGTCTTGAGCCAAATATCTGTCCCACATCCTGTGATTAATCACCGCATACGGATTTGACGATCTGTCAAAACCACTGAAAAGATAATGACAAAGCTCAATTTATTATCAGCGTTATGACAGTTTGAACCTGTTCACCAACAGTCTGACTAAAGTTCAGGATTGCTTGTTGGCTTGATGTTGCGCCCGGATTTGATCGTTCTAGTTTCTTTCTAGGCCTCACATGACTTCCACAAAACCACCTTGTTGCTAGTAGGTAAGGAAACTCCTAGCTAATCCCAGTATCATATGGTAATTTTAAAGTCAAACCGCAAACCTTTCTATTGCCTTGGGCAGTCTTTTTCAAGCATTTCTACCGTCCACCTCAGCATTAGGTTATGAGCATAACTACTTACGTTGCTCAGTTGCTGCCGGTTCCCTTTGGAGGATAAGCCTTACCCGTGTATATTGTTTACTGTGGCTACTCATGCCGGAGAATTTGTGGCAAGATGTGCATAAATGCCGACACATGCCTGTACTTAAATAAAGGCTTTTCGGTGATACCCGAAGGTTACAAGTTTCGAAAATACACTCCGCGACCAAAGTCTCCACTTAATGGCTATCAGTTGGTTTGCATTTAGTGGGCGAATTTTGCTCTTAACTGTTACTATATCAGATCAACTATCTTTCTCAGTTTTTTTCTGTTGGAATTAAATGTCAGCACCCCTTTCAGGAGGCTTCATGCACACTGCGTTCTTTTCCACAGGGCCAAGTAATTTTGCCCAATATCCTAGTGTGTGCCAATAGTCTGTTGTGACGCAGACTGGGCGATGGAACGCGGAATTATTCTGCTATCCTGGTGTGATTAAAACATGACCATAGACGAGCAGACAGGATGGACCACTTATGCTGACTTGTTCGAGTGAGATTGTAGGCTACACGTCAGATCTCAATTGCGCATGTGGTCAGTATTCGATGATGGATCACGGTGTTGAGTTCAACATTTGGCAACCTGACGCCACACCTTTACCGGAATTTCCAAACAGCTGATTTTCTGCATGTATTTAAACTCGAGTTTTTTTACGGACCCCATATCAGTTTGTGATTGCTTCATAGTAAGCGAAACCCCTCGCTGTACCGTCACTGTTTCTTCGTTTGAGAAGAATATCCAAGCAAGTCCAGACATGGTTCGGAGAGAACCGTCAGTTCATTTGCTTAAGACGAGACACATACGTGATCCATCATCCCTAGGTGGTGCGAATTGCACTTTTCTCGTTAATTTCGTTGGGATGTCAATGGCCGCACTACTTTCAGTATAGTAACTACGTCACGCATAATGCTCGCCAGTGAGTCGTACCCTGACCACACATTGAGCATTTGACCGATCCTACTGCCGGTGCTTTTTACGTTACTCTCGATGTTGGCTAGAGGTCGCACGGAGTATGGCAATTCGAAAAGTGAGCAGCCAAAACCCTCAATTCAATGTGGAATTTGATAGGACTCCGACTGACGAACTCCATAAGGATGAATGCGACTCAAGTAGATGAAATAGCTGTACTTCACTGAAGGCCTCTGACAACGTTCGCAATAGGGTGAATCCGTAAGAATAACCCTTCACCCTTAACATTCCACCGATGCCCTAGCTGCCATGTCGCCCGAACGTACCACGAAAGTCGAGATAATCAGATTGCTGAAGCCTAGGAATGAACAATCGAGATGCCGGGGTTAGGCTCGAACCATGTCCAGCATTGTCAGTGACCTTCGTTGAAGGGTATTTATCTTATCGCTATCACTTCCTTCACTTTTCCCTTCAAGTTCTCTACTGTGTTACTGTTGCTTTCACACTTCCAAGGAAAGTGTTTTGGTTCTGGCCCTGTATATTCCAACGCACTGTCCTAGTTGACTGCATTTGGCCACGATTGAGCGTGACTCAAGGTGTGAGCAATGAGGTACGTCGCAATCTTAATGTTTAGCAACTGCATTCCCCACTTCCGGTTGTGGCTTGTCTCAAATCACAGCGTTAGGCACTATGCTGTAAAGAGCAGACATCGAGGTTATGGATGTTCCGGCCGGTCGTACTTAACGCGCGGAAGGTGATTCAGTTCTGGAATCAGATGGCACATTCGTTCCTGTTCGACCCTGGGGGTTGTTCCTGGTGTTTTTATGTTGAATACCCACTGCAGTGAAATCCATTGTTTTACGTGTTCGTTTCAGGTCCTGCTTGATCAGTGCACACAGCCGTAACATCACTACACATTTTCACCGCTAAAACGTGGAGATCATAACCGAACTGATGTCTTGTGATTAAATCGAAGCATGTTTAGAGCGAGATTGGTAGCATGATTCGTATACAGTGCACTGGTAGCTTACTTCCTAAACTCTTATTCGTTAGTTTTATTTCTGTCTTCTTTTCCTGGCCTGTAGCAGTACCTCCTGTCTTTTCTCCACATGGTATTACGTCACACTGGGTAATCATAGCTGGTATGTCATCTCTGAACCGTTCAAAGCACTCAATCGGTTTTATACGCATTATCCATCTTGATGAGTACACAGGAATTCCCACCATTTCCAATCGGTCAATTTTTTCTCATAGAGTTTGGGTTGCTTTACCGTTTGACCCCTTTGACTATGGCATCCCTGTTGCTGTGTTTACAATTCTGGGTTGGTGGATTGCTAAGTTCAATCCAGTTGATATTTCGTGGTCCTTTTGCTGCCGTTTGATTCTATTGATCGCTGTCGTTTATCCAATACGCAAATACGGATGCCGTCTATTTATCTAACCTATGTGCTAGTATGTGTTGCGCGCGTGCGTTTGTGCGTACGCTCGCATATCTTCCATGTGTTCGTTTACTGACTGTCTGTGCTTTCTGGCTGTGAATTCAAATAGTGCCGAGAACTATTGATTTTCCATGAACTTCACCAATCCACTGCTCTGTCATCGATTTTTCAACTTTGTCTCGCGTCATTTGCAAGTTTGGTTCTGTTTGTGTGTTTTCTGAATGCATTTTCTTCTCTTCCTACCTTTTTCAAGCACAGTTGCTAAAACACATCGTTGAATAAGTTGATCACTGAGGATGTTTTGATCGTAAGGTGTGGGATTCGAGCTTGCGGCTATTAGCAATCCCCTATTCTCACGTGCGTTAATCACATTGTCCGTACCAAGCATACCAATCATAAGGTTACTGAAAACTCCGACAGCTCACGACAGGTTTCGTACTTCTTGGGGTTTATCGAGTAGATGCAGTCCCAGCGTTCCCGCCAGTCTTATGTTTACTTGAAGGCAAATTAGCGCAGTTCTCAATTGCAAACTAAGTTAGCTTTAACGAGAGACTCAATGTGATATCCTTCAACTGAATCTGCTGCATAAAAGCCGTTGCGTGTTTCAGTTGACACAATGTTCGATACATCGCAATACATCTTGACGAGGCGCACTAATCTTTGACAGGCCACATCTGGTTTTGCCTTTCTTTGTGCACAGTTTCGGGGATCCTGTCAACCCCATGTTCTATTTGTCTTGTCCTCCGTTGACTGTGCCTCGATTCTAAACGGTTCGATTCTCGTAAAAGTTATAGAGGTTAGGCTGAACCTTTTAACGCAGTCAGTCATCCGTGCTTTAAATATAGGGGAAATCCTTGCAGGCTGAAAGCTCCGACATCTGTATTTTCTAGGGTTGCACGTGCCAGACGTCCACGACTTTTCCAAAATGAAATTGAAACTATATGACCAGGTGAAGTATTTCAATTGTTCTTGATTCTTTCTACTTTACTAGCGTTCGGATGTGTTTTGGGACTGGTGCGAAATCGAGACTGTGATAAACATCTCGCTTCAGTTTGCTTAGACCATCCTTCGACACGACAGTTGACACGATTATCTTTCAATTCACTTTCTGAAATAAACATTTTCATCCATCTTTCCCGACTCACTGTCTCTTGTTGAGTTTTTTGCGTTATCGTTGGTTGTTTTCACATGGGATGTTTCACGCTCGACGGAAGGCAGAAGTTGGGGAATTATTTGACTAGGAGTTCAACACATCCAGCACCTTTCTGGTAGGACTGACTTGATTTGTACTCAAAGTTGAGATGCATTTCTTTCCTCGCAACGTGGAGTATATGCGTTTGCATCTCGTCAGTCCGAAACAGCCACGATCTGCTGGTGTGCAGTCTGATTGACCTAATTACACTTGCGCACGAATAACAATAAATGATAATTGTTTGATTGTATTGCCTTGCGGCGCCTAGCTACCTGAATGAAACGTGAGGAACTATATACTACCGAAGCCTAAACAGGAGCAGTCGCAATCATTAAGCTTGCACCTTAACCACTGAGCTATCTCGAGTTCCTATTCGTGCATGATATAAAGCACTACTGAATGTTGGTTCGTCCGCCGCGCTGGACACGGTTGTGTGTGCACTGACGAAGGCAGAATCGTCACTCATCAATGGGGATCGCTGACTCCTGGGATTACTTCCCTTTCCAGTACACGCGTTTCGTTAGGATTATCTCGAATCCCGTTTTTCTATGCGACATTTCTATTGAAGCCGATTTTATCTTCTGATCAGGCTGATTGTGTCCGTGATGTACAAACTGTGTCAGTGGAAGAAATGTTCAGCACTCTAAACAACCGGAGCAGCTGCTGAATTCGTGTACAGAGCACCTCATGTGCCCTGTTTTGCAACATAACTAGCTAGGTTTTTACATTGTTTGCTCCTTCTGAGTGGGTCCTCTATTGCTGACTGCTCCGCTCAAGTCGGACAAGATGGAACTATTCAGTAGTCTCGATAACTTGGATCCTTCCAGTACAACCAGGTTCAGACGGCGAAATGAATACGGGTTCACATCCAAGTAGACTCGGTAGTGCTAATTGTAAACAACAATCGAAGGAATTGTTTATGGTTTCTCGAAAATATTTTGGGTGAGCACATTGCGGAACGAAATTCCCTGCTTCGGGTTGATTTGCTGGTAGGCTTTTTACGAAAAGATTTGAAATGCTTTGTGAATAGTTGATCAAGTACGATTCGCCTGGATAGGCTGAGGCCCTGTGAGTCTCCTCTCTTCGCTGGACACTTCAACTACAGCGACGAAGATTCTAATGTGATCAGCGTGTTCGCCTCCCAATCCCGGTTGCCTTGAATTCTAGCATTTTATGGTCTCTCATCCGTGGATTGGAAAACCTGTCTGTTGATGAATGCAGGCACGGCTTTCCTCATTCGTCCGGAACACAAAAAGTCATTCTCTCTCCTTAATGAAATCAGTTTGCAGACAACTGCCGGGTAAGACTGCTACGCAGGTATGCTAGAGTTGGGAAAATGAGCACTCGATTGTCAGCCTCTCTTTGAGCCTGTTCTTAGAACACGCGTTTCTTCCCCACTGAAAACTGGAAATCTTTATTCCTGTATTTGATGCCAGTCAGTCAGTCAACTCAGTGGTTAAGGCGCTAAATTACTGACCGAAAGGTTCGTGTCTCGAACCCAATCCGTGTATCTGGACTGCTACTGTCTAGGCATGGGTATTCTGGTAGTATCTCAGCTCTAGTACTTCTTCGGGTGGCATGGTGGCTAGACACCGAAAGACTGTTACACCCGAACGTTTGTTTACTGTTATTTCTTATTGTCAGTTTGCCGTACCATCAGCTTTCCTGGAAAATAGAATCTTCTACGTGATTGCCCTCTCTCTTAGAGCTTTGCATATGGATGGGACAACATTTGCCCCATTATCATCAGGTTCAAAATTCGTTTCAGAGTGGCTCGGTAAACACTGGGCAGTTTCACTTCAGTTTCGAAATTCTTTATCTCTTTTACATCACGATTGATATCATTTGCGGAGGCTTCGGTTCAACCCATGCGTTGAATTTCTCAGCGTCAGACTATAAAGATGGTCGAGCACATGTTAGCGATCACACCGGGACGTCTGATATAAACCCGGGCTGATCACTTGCTGTGTTTCAATCGATAGAGAGTACACATATTTTCCGTATATCCGTAAGTTATCAGGTCTCAGACAATTCAGTTTGAGTGCAATGGTTTCTGCCTACCATTTGTTGTAGTTGAATGTGACACCAACTCCCGTGTCTTTACCTACTAGTCGGATGTCACCGATTAGTAGTTCAAACAGTGCACCAGAGCCTTATCGAGTACGCATAATCCTGGGGCGAGATGGCTCAAGTGGTTAGAGCGCGAATTTACTGGCCGGAAGGTCCGTGGTTCGAACCCAACTCTCGACTTCCCCTGTCTGGGTTTGGGCAACCTGGCAGTATCCCAGCCTTCGTGCTTCTTTTTGGTGGCATGGCAGCTGGGTATCGGAAGGGTGTTACAGCTGAACGATATGTGTATTACCTCCCATCCTAGTTGTCTTTATAGACTATAGTTTGTTCGCTGATCGTCAACTTCATCCACTAGAATAATGCTACCAGATTATGGTTTAGTCACAGTAATTCCTGTTCCATTTTCCCGAGCTTCATTTGTTGCGTTTCGTTAATCATAGATGAGGCTATGTGACGAAGTAATTCACTACTTTTTTCACGTATCTGTCTGTTTCAGATACAAAATCAATGAACCAGACAAATACAACTCCGAAATCGCGAACCGCCAGGTCCAGTAAGTGATTTGCTCGCTGTGTACTCTTTAAACATAAAATACTGGCCGTGTAAACGCAATATCGGTCTACCGTGGTCCTCGCTTCAAACTGGGCAACGTTGTTGGTAACACTGTTCTCTCCTGTAGTCTTTTGATAAACGTCGATCGCACATCCTACGGATGTCAGCTTCCAACCTCCCCACTGTTGTGCGTTGTCGGTCCATCCAGATCTATCCGTTCAGATCGCAACAATAGAGATGAAGGTGGCCGGAACTTTACAAAGTTACTAACAATAATCGTTATCATTCAGCGTTTTCGAATAGTGTCATTCATTTCACTCTTCGTGATTTAGGTTTTATGTAAAACGATACCATTCAGAAATGAAGAAACGGTGAAGAACCTATCCCCAAGAGCACTAGAGACGGACTCATTTTCTTGTGGTGAACTGCTTCCCCTCGGTTTTCGACAGCGTGAATGCATCTTAGACTTACGAGGTATTTTACATCAATGACTTTAAGTGGGTCTTACGAATTGGCTGAAACAGCAGCTGTTCTGAACGAAGATCTCGTCCTGTCCACCGCTGTTTGTAGTCATATTTCGTCGCTTGATAGATTTCCGGCCCGCATCACGTGTCAAACGAACTTCCCAAAATCTATCGAAGTTTATGCTTTCGAGTGTGCGTTCTTGATCTGTCAAAGGTGATGTAATCGCTACTTTCTGTCTCTGACCTGCTGCTCATACCAATTTAGATTAGTCATTTTGGAGTCGTAGTCTCGATAAGTGATTCACTTTTAGTGCCAAGGTCACCTGAACCGTGATGCCAACTACATTCATTTTGCTACCTTATACGAATGACAAGTCCCTAACGAAACTATATCATGTTCGTTTTACTCACACGCCTCGTTCTCCCTGTTTCAGCCAAGCGCCCGTTAGCTCCGGACCAGGATTCGCGGGGAACCAATGATCCGAGCAAGACCGCGCGATTAAAAGTTGAACGTAGGTTTACTTGTATTTGCTTTTTTCCCAGTTCTCCTTCTTTCGCCCCCTCACACTACATAGATCTCGGTAGGTTTTAGCAGCTCCTTGTCCTCATACCGGTTGACTGATTTCATCCGCTTAGCCATTCAGACAGGACTTTTCTTGGCATCCGGCTATTTGGAGGTTGTGGTAAGAGCGTCCCAATCAGTGTTGCATAACTCATTTGGTCGTTTTTTAATTACCCCAGTTTTGTGATTCAATCTCTTACATCAAATTTGTTATCCGAAAGTTGGTCTTTTGAAGTCCGTTAGATCGTCTTGTTTGGTTGCATTCTTTTGGTATCGGTAAAGTGAAGAATGCTGGTCCACTCAACACAGTGCCGATCGCTTTCACATGCACGCACGCACACACGGGACCTTCAAAGCGGAGAGAGCTTGGGCACTTCGGGCGAGAAAATCAGTCCCTGATAACCGAACGGGAAGTTTTTTTTATTTCCAAGTTTAGTTTACTCCTCAAGAGGAGAACAGCACAGTGGAAATGTTTCTCACAATTAAACCGGCTTTACACTAAACGATAAATGTCCAATGAATAGCTGCTATACCCTAGTGTTAATTCAGTGAACCCTTCTTGATTGGACGTGACTTGGCCCATGGAACAGACTTTAGCCTGAAAATGTCATCATCAAAGGCAATTAAGCCAAATGAAACAGTGCACAATAAGTCGCCATTTCGTCCAGTTTTAGTCGTTGAAACTCGTTCTTAGTCTCCTAGACAATAGGGACTGACGTATCTCACAGCGCCTTCAAGTAGCTTGATTGCAATATGTGAGGGTTATTGAATGTCCCAGGCGTTTTCCCTCTTCCACACATAAATACTGTTTAAAGCGTACAGCTGCGACTCAGAGTTCATTTCTCCGGTTCAGAAAGCTTGCAATGCCTTCTTGCTAGTTAACCATGCCACGCCCTCGTCGATGCTTTGTCCGGATTGAAGGACAGTTGACAGTTCGGAACGAAATGAGCTTCAGGAGTGCGCATCCACTCGTTCCTGTGTCCATACCCTGATGGACTTTTGCCAATAAGCACCTCTCCCCAATGCGTTTCCATAACGGCTTCAAGAGTATCACAAACCACTGTCACTTTAAATTTCCTCAGTGATGATCGTGTCAACGAACAGCGCGCTGGGTACTGTGCCCAGAGTAGGTGGGTTTACCTGAAACACACCCATAGTTCGAAGGTTGACGCTATGCCACGCTCTCCGACTAATACACGTGTGGTGGTATTCGTCTATCGTTGCTGGCACGCGTCATCCGTTGTATCATATTTTCTCGCTATCCGACGTGTTTACTGAACGTGCAAAATCCCCAAAGTATTCTTGTCCGTTTTGGCAGTGAGCACGACCGTGAGAGCATGACGTAAGCATATAATTCCATCACAAACCAGAAGGCATCCGAATCAGTGTTTGGCGTGACCGTTGCAAATTTCCCCTTGCTTCATTTGACGGTTGCATTATCACCACCGTCAACTCCATTCCTCTCATGGTTGCTTGATATTACTTATTTCCGCTGCGCTGGTCAGAAGTGTCACCTGCACCCATGCATAGTTAGGACTGAATTGGTGCAGCAAGCCTAATGAAACTGAGTTCCATTTCGCCTTCAATAAATTTCCGAAATTCAGAAGTGATGCACGCGGAGTTCAACTGTAGTATGGTGGTTGAAATAGAACAACTGAATTGGTCGTAATTAAAATGGATAATGAACAACATCAACGTAAAATGACTACTCTGCTACCTGACCGCTACTGAACATCCTTCAAATTTTCGTGTTTCGCAGTTGATGTGCCCAGCGTCACTTGATATCTGTTCAAATGTGCGTCGAGTATGGTCGTGCGCTTTTCAGTAACATGTAATGCTTTTGGCATTCCCCTGCATCGGGAGGTTAAATTCAGGCAAATGAGGTGATAAACTCAACACTAGCTGCTGAAGATGTGCTGTGAACACGACACCAGAAACTTTAATGAAAGACGTCAGTCAGAGGGAACAGTGGCTAATACAAAGCCAGTGGAAGGTAGACCCAAACCAATGCGCTGCTCCCCGTAACTTACAACTTCAGTACTTCAGCATGCAAGGTTCTCGTCCACAGGAATTCGCTCCGTTTCGCCAACCATACGGGAGCAAACATCTAATGGAATTTCGTCCGTCCACTGCTTTTTGTAGTTGGAAGTGAAGGGTTCTGTCTGTGAACGTGTCGGTTATTGATACTTCAAAAAAACAAAAACGTTATAACAAATTTGAACTTACAATATCTCTCCAAGAAAGCAACTCCCCGGCAAGCTGCCACTTTTTGGGACGGTCTAGAGTGAATATCCATCAACTTTGTTCCCACAGGATTTCGTATCTTCCTACGGGCCATCGCCCTAGACTATGTTTGTTTACACTGATACTGAGTGACACACTTAGTCAAAGTATATTTATGTCAAGAGACATTCAGTTATGTTTCCACAGCCTGGTACACGGATGTTGGAATTCATCTCCCGGAAGATGTCAAACTGGCTGATCCCTTGCGTTTATCTCTCCTCAGTTCCGTTATTGTTAAGCCAGATTCTTCATAAGACTCGTTGTACCCTCTAAACCCTGTTCGACCGAATTTCCGATTGTTCACGATAGTTCCTCCGGCAACCAAACCACCTGATTTGCCGCCAACATTCGCCGCGAAACCGATCGCTCCTCGACCGCCAGTCAGTACGATATCTACTTCTCAGAGTCCGATCCAGCACCCGCTGAAACCACACGCAACACTTCAGAGCAAACCGCAACAAGACTCAGTGCTTACCAGTCGTCGATGTTCCTGTTCCAGGTCGTTTTGCTTAAAGTTGTATTGCGAGTGTTTTGCGGCTGGTGTCTTCTGTTCCGACTGCAGTTGTGTTGGTTGCTATAATTTGGCTCAGCACGAAAACTATCGGCAAAAAGCCATTATGCGGATTGTCAACCGAAAACCGGACGCGTTTCAGTCGAAAATAGGCAAGTGATTAATTCATTTTGCATGTCTGAGCGTTTCCAACTGCGGAAACATGGCCGTTTTCCCTTGCGCTATTTGTGTTCTAAGTTAGCATCTCTTACTCCCCTTCGTGGTTTGTCCGGGTAACATTCAAGGAATTACTTCGAGGTATTGCTTAGTTGGAGATTCCCTCCTAAGCTGATCCGGAATAAAAAAATGGCTTCGCAATTTCACGCCATTGTAAGGTTATGCACAAAGTTTAAAGGAAGCCATGGCTGTTATGCGGATGTCATCAATATTTTACGAAAATTGAGTGGCACAAGGCTGTCTGCGCTTTTATTCCGTCACTTGCAGTTTCCAGATGGTGCATTTCTTTGCATAGGTTCGATTTTGTCCCACTGCTTCGAGCTAGGTGCCATACTTGTCGGTGGCCTACAGCGTATGTGTACACGGTCATTCGATGTTCTGTGATATGTAACCTTGATAATCCAATCGAAAGACCAACGGTCTCGTGCTGTAGCAACCAAGAGAATCGACCTGTTATAAGATCAGTCTGAAAAGGTAATGTGAGCTGAATTCAGCTACATACTGGTGGCCACCCTTCGTGTTTTTGGTTTGCTTTGAATGAGTGTAATTCAATCTGTTTGTTTATTTAGCAAGAGACAGGTCAAACGGAACGTTGCTCCGAATTTGGTTGTCTTGTTTGTAATTGGGTATTTCTACATAGGGGTGGAGTGTTCCGGCTCAATTACTGCAGAATATTGCTGGAACAATTCCCTTCTTCTCACACGCGTTCAGTTGACAGCAGATGAAGTAACTACCAGTGCGTTTAGTTTGTTCGGTGTGCAGTTTTGACGATAGTAGGGCGTGGTCGATGTACCACAAGCCATTTCGGATAGGTCACTAGACCGATTCAAATAGACTTGCCGCTGCAAACATAGGCGCAAGCTAACACCGTACTCGTTGTGACCATTATTTGCTACGGAAGGGAATCAGAGCAGGAACGGTAACAAACGACCAGCAGTTTCCGAGAGGACGACTACGCGGAGCGATCCATTCAGGAAACATGGAATCAGGTATTGACACAGTGGATATCTGTTTTCAGTAGTCTCTTTCAACCGTGACCCAGCGGCTGAACTTATTGCGAAGCACCTACACTGAATACTCCATTAAACGTTTACAACAGCAAAACGTAGGTCCTTGTTTGTCGTTACTCCGCAAATGCGGATTCTCCGCTTTTGGCCACAGTTTGCTGCTCTCGTTTTATGCAAAAGAATATATTGGGTAAATGAGCAGACAGTTGTCCAAAAGAAAACGAAGGCATATATCTTCCGGACTGATAATGGGGTCAACCGAACCAGTTGCTGTTGCGTCTAATCAACACGGGTCATGTGATCATCCGGGAAGCTGCAATAAGCGTTGTCTGTACAAGTCGATCGACATACTGGGGGCAGCCCAATTTCACTTCATAGCTATGTCGATTAGCCTGCAAAATCCTGCGGTATGCACTCGGAAACCCTGTTAATGTGTCGAACTGTTGGTAGCTCGCTGCTGTTGCGCCCCCAGTTTACCTTAGTCCTTCCTTTTATGACTCAATGTCGGGAAAACCAGCCAACGAGGTCCTGGTTTTTCAATCTAATCGGAGCGTTTTATTGCTTTTATCTGTCTCGTTTGCGCAACTTACCGTTTTCATTGCGTGATTCAGCCATTAACGTCGCGATCTGGTGAGGAGATTTTGAGAGCCTTTGGGTTTTCGATTCTCCTTGAAGTTTACGAATAAATGCTCCCTCTCGAGAGCTCACAGTAACAAGGACACCAAGGTGTTTCAGGAATAGCTCTCACTAGTGAGCATCGTACATAGTATCCAGATCATTTATATCTGTATGTACGAGTTTCTTCCTCTTGTACGATTCATTTGATCAACCTATTCAGTTATGATATTGTCGTAATTTTTTTATCTTGGACTATCCGTTTCTGTGTTTGAAAGTGTCAGCCTTCCTGTTTTGTGGATACAGCGTGCCATTTGTTCAAAAGTTACACTGTACACAGAACCCCTAATACACTTGAAAGTGAAGTTGGAATGTCAAATGTGATTTAATCACATGGTTCCTGAATATCGTTCACTGTTACAATGGTGCTCCGCTTCATCGATTGTCAAGAAAATGTCAACACCGTTTCTGTCTCCATCACTCCGTTCATCATTAGAGGGGCCGCGTGTGCCTTGCTGTGGGAGCAACTTCGGAATTATAACAATACAATACAATACACTCCATGGGGCGCTCTGGTTGGGTCACGTGTTCCGTATGTCAGTTGACCGACTTCCTCGAAGAAACCTTTTCACACAATCACACGAAGGGTAGAAACGAGTTAGTGGAGGTCAAACAGCGATTTGGCAGCGAAGTATAAAAGCCACTACCAACAAACTCAGCTGCGCTGGTCATTTCCATCTCCCTGCATGGGGACCCCGGGACGGGACACATTACTGGTTAGAGACACCGTCAGACACGGACCAGTAGCGCCTGTAGTGACGCTCATGCATCTAAGCTGTTGCCTTCAATGCGTACCTTCCCTCCTAATCTACCCAGTGAAAGGCCACTGATGCATCGATCCTATCAGTTACCGCCTGCAATGCGTAGCTATCTACCCCATCTCCTCAAATCATTAGCAAACGAAACTGTGGCACCTATAACCACTGTACGGCAAGCACGTTGTTTTTACAGTTATTGTTGTTATTGTTGTTGATGGCGATGACGTGCAAATAGCACGTCTCCAGCTGCTTAGCTTGTATGAACCCTTGAGCAGGTCGTCTATTACAAAGAATTGACAATGATTCAGTCCAAGGACTTAACCTTGTTTCCACGCACTAGTCACACGCACGACGAACGCCTACTCCCGCAAGTCGTTCATCCCGAAATTAAACATTTTTTAAATGTACGGTAGATCCACTCAGTTCTGCATCATACCTAAAACATCTGTCGTCAGCTTTCCAATGGCTTTTTGGACCATGCACTGCGCGCATACGGTTGGCATCTCCGTTGATGTTCTGCGTAACTGAGCTAGGACAATTTGGGACAGTTTAACTCGGTACAGTTTTCATGTATAAAAATACAATATGCCGATCGTTTGTGACTAGTAAAATAATCGCTCAGGTATAGCCCCCTTTCGGTGCCCAACTGCCATGCCACCCGAAGGAAGCACGAGGGCTAGGATACTGCCAGGTTGCCCAAGGCTAGACAGGGGAAGTCGAGGCGCAGAGGTCTGGTTCGAACAACGGACCTTCCAGTCAGTGAATCCACGCTCTAACCACTTGGAGCATCTCGCCCCTTGTGATTAGTAGTTGACGTCTGTTGCAAGTTTAAATTAGGATCACAGTGGAATTCTCTCTTGTCGTTCACTCAGACCTTTAGGAGACTTATTTGGTGCATCGTCGAGTGTGTCTGGTTTGATTTGCTATTTTTTTCTGCACGTTTTCATTTCTATCTAAAATCGATTTTTTGAGCAGTGTATCACGTTCTGTTATGTTGGTCTCAGTTTGAGTTTATCGTACCTGGCAGTATCTCAGTTCTCGGCCTTCCTTCGGGTAGCAGCTGGGCACCGAAATGGTGCTGCAGCTGAACGATTGGATACATTGGTTGGGCATGCTGATGACCTTAAAATCATCCCCTTCCTGCTCACCGTACGGCCTTATCCCTTGCCGCCTACATCGAAAACAGGGCTTTCCGGTGAAAGCACAGGCGGCTCGACGCGGACTGCATACATCATTGCCTGTTGTGCGCTAGGGTAAATCGACACAGTTTTTAATGAATAAATTTAGAAGAGATGTCAGCCTGCTGTCCGTTTGACTTCAAAGCTCGCTAAACCATGAATGAGCAACTGCCAATTCTATAAGCGTTGTTGTAAGTCTTTGGCGAGACTTGTCCAAAATTGTCACTCCAAATTGATGTTATCTGGAACAAGGATATCTCAAAGAATCTTTTTCTTATTTTCCATGCACCCTTTTCATATAATTTTTTGTTCAATCACTACAATTTGCTCTCTCTTGTAGCACATTCCTTAGAAAATGCAACTGTTCATGCTCGCGGGTGTAATTGTAAGCGGTCTGGTTGTCTGAAAAACTATTGTGAATGTTACGAGGTAAGTTGTCTTTTTCTTTCATGGACTCATGTTGTTACCACAGGAATTGCTATTCCCCGTTCACATAACTGTGCTCTCCATTATAAACTTAGGCGCGCGTTCGCTGTACATCCCGATGTCGTTGTCAATATTGTTACAACATGCCTACTGCATCTTCAATCGGACACAGTCATCAGATGCCTATCTCAATAGATCTTTCGGCTACCTCTTCCCTACAAGAGGAACCGTTGTTCCTTCACAGTCCGTCAAGTTCGCCTAATTCATCCTCTTCAACCGTCTTACTGAAAGTACATCATTCACAAGAACCGGGTGGCAACGACACCACACTCCTTCAATCGAACGCCGAAATCAGTCAATCTATGGACTGTGAATCAAGGTAAGGTCCTGTGTCAGCATTTTCCTGTAAACTGAGCGTTCCCGCCAGAATAACGTCGGTAACCAAACGTTTCTCGTCTTGATGGGCGTCGGATGCCAAAGGCGTGTTGGTTAATCTGGCTACCCAGTGAATAGAAGCCTTTGTTACCGTTTTCTCTACTTACTGAACTTACTGACCGGAAGGTCCGTGGTTCGAACCCGACTTCTGCCTCTCAACTTCCCCTGTCTAGGCTTGGGCAACCTGGCAGTATCCCAGCCCTCGTTCAACCTTCGGGTGACATGACAGCTAGGCACCGAAAGGGTGTTACAGCTGAGCGATGTTTTTTAGCCTCCTATAATACCCCTTGGTAGTAGAGTGCAGTAATCCCACCCACCCAAGCATTGAGTGCCCTCAGAACTTGTCGTGTTCATTCTTTAGAAGCGTCTGCACTTCCTTCTCTACGAAGACATATATTTTGCTGTCTCCTTAAAGAATGGTCGGGAGACACAAGTGTTACTTCATTATCAAATTATGCTAGGTTTTTGAGGATCTTTCCATTTGAATCGAGAGCTCTTCTGGTTACGACTGAACTGATTTGGCTTAATTAAACAGGAATGGCGTGGTTTTCGGGAACAGGTAGTGGCAAACCAAAACAATCAGGTGAAAACACATGAGGAGAGCCAAAGTCTAGCGTAATACACTCGTTTGAAAATTAGTGCGTTGTTAACTAGGGACTCAGCTGAATCACAAATGGTATTCTTCAACTGAACGTGCTGCTTAAACGCTACCTTGTTGTTCAACTGGTGCAATATTCGAGGTGTAGCAGTATATATTCTGAACACATCACACTATGTGCTATTCAGTTGAGTCCCCCGTCCACACCAACTTATTTTTAAATGGGCCTATCTCACTACAAGTAGAGAATAAAGTTTATGGAAACCCGAGTACTACGCCTATCTAATGAGTCCCAGGAAGGGTGAAACCGACAGTGAGCTGACCTGGGGACAGGGACCTCTTTTCTCCCCTCACAGTAAGCCTCCCGAACCCGAAGCGGAAACAATTCCCCATTCCTCAACAGACTGATTTGCCTTCCAAAAAGAAACGACACAATAGGAATTCAATTTACCCTTATTTGAAGTTGAGTGTCAAAGACTCCAAAAAGTTCATGTCGAAAGCATAGCTCATGTGCTAAGTCGTCATATTATTTTTATGGCAATATTTGGCTTGATGTAGCTGACGATTTAGCTCGCGCAACGTCATACTTTCGAGCATTTCAGAGAGTCGCCTATTGGTGGTAATACAGCTCAAGGATGGTTATCACCGTAGGCTGCAACATCAGTGTTGACAGCTGCTTTAACGTCGCACATCGTTTTTCAAGTCATATTTAAAACCGTAAACTTAAATACGAGAAAAGAGTGGAGAGGGAGGGGCATCGTGCTATCACAACTATTCTGAGGTATCTCTTCCCTGAGACGCTCACCTGGGCAATCTTGAAAGGAACCGCCACTGGCACTGGTTAGCCGTCATCTGTTGCAATGTGTCTAGCCAAAATCAGGAGGAGGATTATGGGACCCCATCCTGAACCGTATCTACAACACCTAAACTCCTCTTAATCTCTTTCACATCTCGAAGTCACATCTGGAGGATAGGAAGACGCTTGTAATACGTATGGAATACTTTATGGGAATACGTCATCATAGCAACTTATCCTGTTTGGTGCTTCCTATTTCAGTTCAGATAAATAAGAAAACCAGTCGTTCCTAACCAAAAGGGCTGGAGCGGACGAAAATTAGACAGACTCATAGTATGTGTGAGTCGTGGATATTCACCAGTAATGCAAATCTCAAGCATTCACTTTGGGTGAAATGGGAAATTCTGCTATACTTTCGAGAAAGCTGGTGAAAAATGTGTAGAAACGAACGGATACAGACTACCGCAATGCAGAATGCATGCGATACGGCTAGAATCCATCACTTCCCACCGTATTTTCCCATAAAATACATTCTTGTACATTTTATACTGTTACTTATCGTACAGACTGCCTCACTTGGGTGCGTAAGCAATTTGCTTCTCTGAAGCACGGCTCTTGAGAAATATTCTATTGCTCGCTTAGGAAGAATGTCGATATTGCACTGTTTGGTTCGTCTGTTTGCCCCTGAGATCTCGTTTGTTGAAAGCATCACTATATCGGATTGACTGGCGTCCTTCCCATGGTTCTATACACCTTTTACACGTCATTTTGGAGTCTATGTGCTGTCAGTTGGTTTCAAATGATCTATTTCTCATATTTGGTCTGAAACCATGTATGATTTGGCCGCTTCCTCACTTCATGGTTGCTCATATTGTACACTTTTGTAGTTCTGTCCAAGGATCGCACAGAAGCTCGTCTTCCTCTGTGATCTCAGAGAATTCCTGTCAGGATAAACCGAAGGACGTCCATGTACCGGTCACATCAGCTGGCACCGCCGCAATCCCCGATCAGCAACCCGTGCCACGAGAGTTGACTATATTGACTGGAATGAACCATCCCATTAATCCACCCATCATTGGAAACTTCTTACCCTCCTCCAAAACTGTAATTGGACTTCCCGCAGCCATCGCTGCCTCGAATCTCATAGCAACATGGTTGGCCCTGTTATCTAATGCAACCTCAGCAGCAGGCTGTTCTACTAATCCTGTGGTAAGTGTTCAAAGTTATCCCTTAGACCTTTTTTTCTCGACCGTGAATTAAGTTTGTCGGCAAACCATCAAGTTAAATTTCTCCGCTAAAGTTGCGCTGTAAATCAGTTGAACAAAGCCATTTGACTCAGCCAAAACACATCCACTTGTGTACCCTTTCTTTGTCCACTCCCCGCTGCGCATCTGTACCATTTTCACAGGACCACAACTTCCCAAATCAAACACATGTGCATCCCGTTGCAGTCGATCCTGATCCAGACGCTGGGGTCGCTCATTTGCAGTCAGATTCGATGGAGCAGTATACCACCGAGGAGCTAGCCGCCTTCGATCGAATTATCAAGCAACGTGAACAAGTGCCGGATGGCAATCGACCCTCGAGCGAGGAAGGCTCTCATAAGCTAGATTCCGATACCTATGTGCGTTCCATACCTCCCGGTTGCGAATCTACAGAAGTTAAAGAGGAATGTTCAACAGAACGGAACGACCAGTCACTCTATTCTCGATTGGTATGTACCTTTTGAGTTGTGCATGGTTGTTGAGATAACTTTTTATTGGTCAAAAGAGGTTATTACACATTTATTCATGGTGTAATCACGGAATTTTCCACAAAGTAACGCTAGAAGCTTCATGAAGGGCGATAATCACAGAGCCGTAAATCCGGTATCCTGATTGGCTGACATCCCGACCAATCATGACATTTCTCCGTTTGCTCCGTAGCCAGCTCGCGACGCATGCGTCCAATCGATGTGTTGTTGTTCTATTGCGTAGAGGGCCTCGGCTCCGGCCACCACCAAAGCTGGTCTGGCATACATCGTCCGGACGTTTCGCCTCGAGTCAGTGGGATTTCTTGTGGTTATTCCAAGCTGCACTTTTCCGTTAAAGGTGGAATCATAAAGTATCTATATCGTTCATGCATAGATACGGACCCTGTCTACCTTCGTCACCATCGCACTCATCTGGAAGATACCCCGGGTGTTAGCCAGGTAGTTATGCATAAACCATCGTAATTGGTTCAGTGTACTGGACCATTAGACCAACCGTATCTTCTCCTGAATGGTAATAGCGAAGGTGACTGTGTGGAGTTGTATCGAAGTATATGGCTTGAAGCACTAATTATGTGCTGACTGCATCTAAACTATTCGTCCATCGTCCAGCTAGGATGAGTCTGCATGCTGTACAGGCGTGAGAATTTTGACAGCACGCATAGCACCTTCGTTTTGACTATCTCTTCTAGGTTAGTTCAGTCCACTTGACGTTAGTAATACCGGGAGTCATTGCACACTATCAGTAGTCATTTCCACTCTCAGGTAGAAGTGTTTAGATTGGGAAGCTTAGTATAATCGAAAAGGGCAGACTAGGTTTAATGGGGTTTTAGTCCCCTGGTGGAGGTCCTGTTGGCAGTGTTGCTCCTCCTGGTTATTTGTTTGTTCGGCGAGCTTCGCAGTCTGATTGTAGGCTTTCCGTCGTCAGTCGAGGCGACATCACCAGTGCGCGGCTGAATGTATCACGCACTGAGGATGTCTTCTCGACTGTTAACGAAACGTTTGCGATCTAGTTGTAAAGTTCGACAAATAAATTTCGGATGTTTTCGTCGACTGAAGTGCCTGTCGAAGAATAAAATATCTGTTTTCCAATTTAATCGTTACTAATTCGTCGAGGCCATCTGACACCACCGACGCTTCTGATGCATCAGTGATCAAAAATCTGCAGAGGCCATGTCATATAAACACACAACACCACTGCCCTTACTGGTACACGTCACCCTGTGACATGCCTTGTTGACGCCACAATGGACGCAAATCTGCCCACGTGATTCGCGTATTGACCTAATCGGACTGCCGTGAGAGTTAATGCAGCTACCGAAGTGTGTAGATCTCATCACAACATCCAGTACTTCTCGTTGAATTGCAAAGAATATATCCAGGGACTTCGCGTTCTGTAGCATGACTTTTCACTCTGTAGCTGCGAGTCGGTGCCGAAAGACGGTGCTCAGTTTACTCAACATTCACAGAGAAGTGATCTATTGTTATTAGACCATTCATCAAACACAGAAGCAAAAGACGGATGCTTGTCTGTAATGGTGTGGCGCTCGAAAGTGCTACAGCCCCAACGGCGTGGTCTTTCATGGGGAAAGGCTGGATTCTCGATTCGGCTCTTCTGTCACCGAATGGCTTACCGGTAGGTGATCACCACCGAAACCAAAAAACTCACAAAAGGACATAAAACCGCAACATTTGAACGGTTTTTGACACCAGGTCACGCTGGAATGTTATTTTCAAAAACAAAAACGGTTGGACACGGATGGCATCACATAGGTCGATTCGTGGCGCGGAATGGATAGCGGGATCAAGCACATGATCGTCACTTCGGAAGGCTGTATCTATGCGTAATGGGAAACCTCGCGCTTGGTAGCCAGGTCCAACGTATAGTAATGTGGGAGGCCGGGTGGACACTTCTGATTAACAGTGGTCTACTCATAAATAGAGGATGAAAACTTGGGTTCCACACGTGCATCATATGCTAGTTCCCGGAGGAATTGACTGTATTTTCGTTAGTCGCTTGTTTCGTGCCAATCGAATTTTGCTGAGCGAATTTACTGACTGCAAGGTCTGTGGTTCGAACCCGACCTCTGCCTCTCGACTTCCCCTGTCTAGGCTTGGGCAGTATCCCAGCCCTCGTGCAACCTTCGGGTGGCATGGCAGTTAGGCACCGGAAAGGTGCTGCGGCTGAACGATGGATTTTGTTGAATTACTCCATAGCGAATTCCGGTGATCCTTGCTCAAATAGGAATCACCCGTCGGAGTCGGTCAAGGTGATTCTTTTGTGATCTATGACTGAATGGGCCAATTCAGTTTATGAAACAATGTGTTGTGTACATGTCAAATTAGCTACCTTCTATCACGACGGGCATAAACATGGAATGATGCTCGGGATGGGGTTCGCGTGACCCCCATGTGCTTGGCTGGGAACAGAAAACGATACAGTGACTGACGAATGTCAGCGTTCATGCTGTCAGTTTCCATCCAGGTTGTCTGACTGTTTGATGTGTAGATACTTGTGGTTTTTTTGGGGGGGGGGGGGAGCTAGCCGTAGGATCCTCTCGTTGTCTCATTTTTTGTTTCCATTATAAGCTTTATTGAAATAAATTGACGTGTTTGTACGGCAGTAAAGTATCGATGTTCTCATCTGATGTTACTGTCAATGACAATTATCAGAGGATCATTGCTGGATAGCGAGATACTCCTTGGTGTACAAAATAACCCGAATCGTAACAATTTTTTGCGCTCTTCCGTGCTCTTGAAATCATTCTGTTTTTTTATTCGCTGTCATCTCTAGGTGAGCCGTTCGATTGGTCGTACCTCTTCATCACGTATAGAATATCATCCATGGTATGCCGTTGAACATAACTAGAGTGGGTGTACTAGTCAATTACCGATCCCTTTGAAGTTGGATCTGCTTTAAAAGTGAGGGGTTGGCTTTCGTATCATATTCTTTCGGGTCGGTGAACTGCACAGTTGGGATTCCAAACTGGGATTTCTTCCAACTTGAATCTACCAGGACGACTGAGCCTACTTGCTGACTGGTTTGAAAGTGGAGCTGTTAGCCCATGACGCGGCATGGCCAAGCACACTGACAACGTGATCACCCAAACCAGTTGGTTCATTATTGCCGAATTAACAAACAGACAGTTGAACCGGTGAATCAACTCACTAATACTTCAAGGCGTTGACTAAAACACCTAGACCAAGCACTGGTGGATTTGGACTTTGAGGCACATCTCATGATTTGCTGTGATGCATTCTTTCCCGGAGAGCTTATTAAGTTTATTGATCTGTACCCGAATTGTGTGTGTGTGTGGACCTCAGACTGGCGTTCGAATGTCATGGCTGGCCATATCCTGGCGGAAATTAATTTATCTGGCGAGCAGGACATATGAGTAAGAACAACCTGTTGGGCATTAGTAGTGCAAAGCTTGTCAAAATCCTCAGTTCTCTTTTAAAGGTTTGGTATTCTGTCCTTGGATCATGGTGAGGTTTTTAGGGCCGGAATACAGTGGACAAAGTAATTCATGGAACGAACTGGGAAAAACAGTCTATGTACACCCAATTGTCGTATTGATCGCTGCATTTCTACTCCGTTTGTGAACCTTAGTACGGAACCATACCGTAGTCATTTAACTTGTCCGAATTATGAAAAAGGCGAAATGGGCTGCTTATGCGATTCTCGTGTTTATCCTCCTACTGTATTCCAGTGCCCCGGTGAAATCGAACTGTCTGAAACCTTACCCAGTGGAGGAAGCGCCGATGTTGCAACCAAAAAAGTCAAGTATGTTTTGTCAGTCACGTATAAACAAGTGTTTGCAATAAAGCGTCAGCTGTGAACCTTGTGTTTTGTACTATTTGTTTTTTATGAAACTCCCAGTTTCGCAATCCATCATTAGGTATCTTACTTTGCTGCATCATGAAATGGGTAATCAGTTTGTCATTTCTCCTAAAGTTTCATCTACCCACATCCAACAAAGCATCGGATACCTGTTTCTTCCAGACGGAGCTCATATTCGTTGCGTGTGCAAGTGTTCTAGTCATGAAAACGGATTCTGTCTAAATACCACTCTGTTCACTCATTTCGCCTTGCTACCGTGACAGAGGGAGTAATCTAACTTGTGAGCTTCATACCGTTCCTATTGTCGCACACTTCTAGGGTGATTGGGAGTTTTACCCGGCCATAACTGGCAAAGCAATGGGTAGGTGCTTCGCCATTGCTGGGGTGATATTTTTCGTAGGCCATTGTAATGGTCCACAAGCAGGCGCTTTTATGGCCATCGATTTTCTGCTCGCTAAACAAGTCGGGTTGAAATAGCTTTCCCCGCTAGGCATTGATCAAACCTGTAGTGTTCAGCATTTTCCCGCCTTAAATCAAACTGTCAGTTTTCCCTTTGGATAATCAACTTACAACACATGCAGTGAAAGAGCACTGTAGCAAAGCAAGGCGAAAGTTGGCAGTGCAATACACGGTCTGATTGTAGGCGAACTTTTGAGTTTCCGTGTACATGTATATTTGATTCAGTGAGCGGTAATGTTGCATCGAGAGCATTGAAACTTTTACTTTAAACCTGAGCTCGAACTTACTGATCGGAAAGTCCGTGGTGAAAACCCAACCGCGGCGTCTCGACTCCTGTCTGGGCCTGGGCAATATGTCAGTATCTCAACCCTCGTAACTTCTTCAGGTGACATGGCAGTTAGGCACTAAACACTTCGATTCGTCCCCACTCGTCCTCAAAGCTTGGCTCTTCTGCGAAGATTTGGAAATAGACGCCGGATATCGTGCGTCTCTTAAGATATTTCCGTGAACCTATGCAAGATGTAGTTGTGTCGTGCCATGAATTTGTATTACATCTTCTTATCCATTTATCATCATGCCTCACTTAATTTTTGTTTGATTGCTTTAAAGCTCCGATGTTTCCCCATCTGAAATGCTGGCTTCTGAAGTGGCTCGTCTTAAAAGGCAAGTAAAACAACTCACACGAACAGTTCGAAAACAGGGACAGATGATCCGCCAACTACAGTCTAGCTCCCCGAATGTGCTGCACACAAATGTGGTTAATAATAAAGCTGACACTTGAACATACTGGAAGTTGATTGAGCGATCCCGCGCACACATGTAAAAAAACTTTCTCCCGCTTTTTAATGCCTATTCCAAATGACCCGCTTTTGCTCTGACGTTCAGTTTGGATTGGGGCATCGCCATGTGCCTGTTTAAAGTGCCTTATTTTAAAGAAGTGCAACTCGGACGCCGAACATTGTTGCATCTTATCCGAGTACTGCCAGCTTCCCAGGTTCGGAAAACCCAGGCTCATTGCACCAACCGATCGATCGGACCCCGTCTTTCTACAACACCGTTCCTCCTTGGAGCTTTTCCAAAACGCGAATCGTTGTGTTTTCTTTTGTGCAAAACCCACGCCCAACACACTGTTTTGTTACTCTCTTACTTTGTCCCCCGGTCGTTTTTTTCACCCGTTTTCTTCGACTTAAGATGTGCAAACCGTGTTGTTATTTTGATATTTTGAAACACTGAAGCGATGGTTTTTGTCTCTGCGTACGACGGTTCTGTGACTTTATTGGGGCATCTGATTGTTCCAACCCACCTCCGTATTACTCGAGGAAATAACAATAACAAAGATACGATAATCTCCCATCCATAGAGTAAATAGTTTCGAGTGTATGGTCCTCCGGACGACCATTTTACGACATTCATCCATATCCACTACTGGACTACCAACTCACATTTGATAAGCTCAAACTCTCACCGTTAGTAGACTTTTTTTAACTGAACATAGCCTTGGCTATGTGCACAGCACTATTGGTTGGAGCAGTAATTAATCGAAGTCCGAATGAAAGTAGTACAGCCGAACGATGCACTCCGGTTACAAAGCTCCCAGTCATCATCACTGTTTTGATCGTTATATAGGTAGATGACTTCGTGTTAAGTTATCGTTAAGTGAGAAAGACGACTGGCTTCTAACGACACTTTACGGTTTTTTACGTGATGCACCAGCATAAGTGAGACATGGATATTGGATATCTGAAACGCTCACTTTTGATGAATGGAATTTTTTGCTGCACGCTCAAGAAAGCCGTCGAAAAAATACCCGAACTCACCATGCCCGTGCAAAACACATGCGATGCCGTTGTTATTGGTCGTCGTCTCATTGTTGAAAACAAATTTTGGAATACCCGAAGTTGTTTGATCTACACTATCCGGTTACCCATCCCAAGCTGGGAGGAACCGAAAAGCTAAGGTAGGGCCTCGAACCGCAGACCAATCGGTCATTAGCTCCGCCTTAATCTCCGTCACTTCCCAAATGGTCTAGGTATTAGTTTCAGTATGTTCTTGTGAGAAAAGAAGAATCACATTCCAGGGCGATCAACTCGAGGTTACCTGGATGTCTGTCAGTACAACGAACTATGCGGGCTTGTCTGTTGATGAACCTGTTACGGAAAAGACTTAGTGTGGCTTATTCGCTGCGCTTTCGAGAATAAGTAGGTTCCGAATTTATCGTAGTACCTTGATGCTCTGTAACTAATTCATTCACCTTTAATACACATAAGTCTAGTTAACAGCAACACAAGATTCTGCTGTCACGTTTCTTGAAGAAGGAACTGTCCGGTAATAGCTTGAAAGAAGCATTTCCTGAAATACTTGTCAGACAAAAATTAGGTACTGATTGTAGGAACAAAATATCGTTTGAAGGCCGTAGAGACCACTTACAGATACGGACTAGAAGTGGCCTCTTTTAACGGAACTAATAAAAACGCGTGCAAAAATCATCTGTGGAGTACGACTGTGTTTTTAGCCCGTGTCGTACGCCTCTCATTCTAAATGTCTTGCGACCAATATTCGAGATACACAATTTCTCACTTTCAATTTATTCCCAAATGCAGTTGTAGCTTGCGCGAACCTGTGAATCAGAACCAGGGCGATCGACTGGACTAGTCAGGCGTGGTGTGAGGAAGTATTGCAGCATCAGTGATTCGTGGGAATCTGTGTTGACAGGTTTTAATGCTGTCACTGCTAAGAGCCGGATACCGAGTCGGTCTTCGTCTTTCTACAGAGCAGGTAATCTCATACTGACTGAATGCAAAAAGACAAACGCCACATCACAAACGTCTGTCGGGTCATTCACGAATTCACGGTTGCACAACGGGACTAGTGGTTTTTCGGTCTACTCTGCCACTTTGGCCAAAACATGCTTCAAGAGCTCTTCCGACCGTGTATCCTGTTTTTCAAGGTTTCCCTAATCCGTTATACTTTTTGTGAACTAACCGAAATTCATCTCCCCAGAGAGGACCAACTGTACCGCGAGCTCTCCAGCACAGTGCAAAAACATGGTGAACCAAAGTGGGGTAGCTTCGTGGTCATAACGATGAAATGGAAGTGTGAGCAATCCAGGAACAACAATCCACTACGCGTTTTGGCGCCACATTCGTGCTCCATCAGGTCTTGTTCATTTTCCAAAGGTGCCTGTATTCGCGAAATAGCCTCATTTGCACATCAATTTGGTTTTAATGGGGGACTACTGAATCTCTCGTTTATGATATTCTTCAATTGAACGTGCCGCACAAAAGCCACCTCACATACGATACTTGACAGATCGCAACCTACTTTCATGAGGTTGCGAACAATTCAAAGTATGCAACACTTCGAGTGTTTGCAGTGTTAGATGTATTTCCTAATGAGAATTTTTACTTTGCACTAGGACGCCGAATCCCCGCTCCACTTGTTGACAGATGGTCTTGAACTGCCTACTTGCGGTCACAACTGGTTCCACATCCAAGGTACAGCAATCTCTCCACAGAAAGAGGAGCATTCACATTAGGTCGTATCTGATGGGAGACCATCTTATGGGCGGTATAAGATGAACAGCCTGAGAGTTCAGTTTCATTCGCACAAGACCACATCGGATAAGAAAGTGTTTATGGCATCGCTCTCCAAGGAAGGAACACTAGGTGCCCAAGTGGAGTTTCCGCCTCCAGAATATCCTCACGATGGTCCGCCCAAAACAATGGCGAAATGTCCCTAGTGCCCCGACAACAATCAGCGGTGGGAACTATATGTCAAGTGTCAGAAATGAATATATTCATTACGATACAGCAGCGTGAAAAAGACTTTGGGTGGTAAACATATCCAAAAGGCTCTCTACCGCTTCCAGAACGAATATGTAGTCTTACCATATCACAAACTATGCGTTGTTCACGGCTATCTGAACATTTTGGCTGAATGTTACTGACATTTGCTGTACAACCGTCGGGGTGAATTCCGAGTTATTAAAAACAAGAGTGGACTAGACACCCGCTGCGATTAAGCCATGCTGCGTCACACAGGTCTAAGTGATTAACTGCATTGTCGTTTTTTTCGTCGCACTCCATAGGCCAAGAAAGTGAACTTCAGCAGGGTCCTGAAAATGAACGTAAACAGCGCAGCGATCAAAAGTAGCTGATTCCACAATCCAAAGAGAACAACATTAGAGATGGTCTGAGGAGAAGGGACAGTCTGGAAACGCTCCTAAATGTGGGTCAACAAAAGTGATGGTTAGCTGTTCCTGACCATTAGGAGGGAGGTTGCGGGTTCGTAGGATGCGTATCGCTGATGATTCTCAACAAGGATGAAACAGCTGTTCAGTGATTCTGGGCTCTTCAGCATAGACTGACTTCATGTACTGGACAAAACCTCAGTTGAAATTACCGAAACTCTTCACACTGCCATCAGTCTCCAAGTTGCTCAAGGGAGGAATAATGTTCGTAGGATCGTATCGCTGATGATTCTCAACAAGGATGAAACAGCTGTTCAGTGATTCTGGGCTCTTCAGCATAGACTGACTTCATGTACTGGACAAAACCTCAGTTGAAATTACCGAAACTCTTCACACTGCCATCAGTCTCCAAGTTGCTCAAGGGAGGAATAATGTCACAATATGATTCTGTTCAATGCCACTTCAACAGGTTGGTAAAGCAACCCAGTTTTTAGCCTTCCGCACTGTCAAACCGAGGGACACTTGACGTGGTCAAGTGCTGCGCGACAGACAACTCCAAGAACATCGACCAAACACTAACTACGCCACCACGGTATTACCTTGTTTGATCTAGTCATCTTGTTGATCCATATGGCTCCCCTCTCCGATAGCATGCGACATAGGACAAATGCAAAAGAAAGTCAAGAGCATGATAAAAATCAGGTACCTGCTGAGGGCTCTCCATTTCTTCCATTCACACGGAGTTGTGCACTGTTTGACACAAATACAGCAGGTGAAACACAAAAGTATAGGACCAATCCTCAGAATGGTCTATCCAACACTCTAACTCCACTGGTATTCTAGAAACTCGACCTGTTGAAATGCCAGTGACCTTGACATCTAGTGTACGCAATAAATGCACTGCTGACGTGCTATGATAGTGGGGATTCAAGTGCAACACTACAAAGCTATTCCTAACAATGGATGCAAGGGAGTCGCGTCACATCATACATTTCATCGTGGATATCATTCGCGGGAAACCGGCTAATTACAACAGTGCGTGGAAACATCAAAAACTAGGAAGTCCAAAAAATGGTTAAGCATAAACGCGAAGAACCAACATTTAGAAGGGTAGCTGCTTCAGAAGACAAGGTGCTGATCGTTTGACGGATTTGACCTATGGAAGAACAGAACCATAAATGAGGTGGGCTTCAAGGGTGGTTCGAACATATCGGCTTCATTCGCTGCAGCCATTCTTCCTATGTAGATTTGTTTCGCCTTATTGGGAAACGTATAATGGATACAGTGGAATCGGCAGGCACACAGTTGACTAGACTGGGTCCTTGTAACTTAGAGAGAGATAACCCCCTGAACGACAACTTACCCCGATATAACAATTCAACGATGCGGAAAAGACGCTTGAGTGACCTATAGTTTTATGCTTATACAATAAAGAAATAATCGTTCGGCTGTAACACCCTGTCGGTGCCGAGCTGCCACGCTAACCAGAGGAATCACGAGGACAGAGGTAATGCCAGGTAGCCCAGGCTTAGACAGGAGCATTCGGAATCGCTCAAGTTTGGTCTGAACCATGGACCTTCTGGTCGGCATTTCGCGCTCTTAAGCTGTATAAGTCATGTTGGTTTGCGTATGTTCAACTTTCGGTGAACTAGAGCTCTCCACCCATTGATATTGCTAGGCATGAATGTTAAAGAAACGGGCTAACTAGTTCGCGTATATACATGTTATGAACACTTTCACAAGTTGATCTTGTTTCATGCAGTCTAGTGTGCTCTTATGAATAGTCTAAGGCCTTGAGAATGAATTATTCACAAACCTTCCGAACACCTTCTGTGGACGCATAACTAGATAGAGTAATCTTCTCGAAAAGATGACACTACGAAGGGATCAGCTTTTTTGGCCTCTACTGGGACTATATTCAGGGCAATTTATAGTCTACCAGGTCGCAAGAAATGCACAGAGCATGGTCTGAGCTTGCGGTGATATTTTATTTCCACAGAATATTCTGCCGTTTTCGATTGAGTGTATCTCGATATAAATCTAGTACAGCTCACGTTGAATGCATTCAATCTTTCAATTGTTGTCTTGAGGCAAACTGTTTGAATTAACCAATCACCTAAATTTGTTTGCGGTCTCTCGCTCATTTTGGTCTGGTTTTTTAAAGTACACTTATTAAAGTCTGTATTCATGTCCAAGTTAATCTTAGCCCGTCACAACAACATCGTCACCTAAAACTGATAAGCTTTCACAGTAATTCGTACCAGAAAATATTCGCCCCTCGATTATCATCTTTCATCCAAGGTCACAGTGCTAACGGTTTGCGATGAAAGATCTACTCACCTGTGTACGAAGCGGGCACTGGTCGTAAAACGTCGGAAAAGAGGTGCAGATAAAAACCGATGTTGAAAGAATACTTGCCTGTGTGCTGTCCACTAAAACTTGATCATCGGTGTCTTCGCAACATAGCAGTGTTTGGTTGACGGCAGCGCGTTGCGGCTAAAGGTTAGAAAATGGGAAACGCTAAAGCAACAAACAAGGCTTATCAGGTTGTTTTCGATATGTTTTATGTATGCCAAACCAGTGTCGACCAAGGAAACCTTTTTCCCACTCTACTCTTTCGCTTCCGAAAATTTTGCGGTGAACAAGTGACGGCACAGTATTTACAATCTAAGGGATTCCGGTGGATGCTTAACGCCTTCGTGGCTTTTGTTTGCCCGCGGCTGAAAATTCAACACAAAATGTTACCCAATTAGCCTTGGTAGCGAGTATGCTACCACTTCCTAGCCAGTCCACTACGACCACGCGAAGCGTTCTCCGAGCTCGCATATGGGGCTCGAAAAAGTTGCCGGACCGATGACTTCTCACACCGACATAACACTCAGATGCAGTAAGTTGCCCTTGTTCATCCTCTCCAAGGGATTAGACTACTTGCAGTAGGCCTCCATCTCCTTTGTTCTTGATTCTTGCTGAGACGTTTATTCTCAGTCACGTGTCAGTTAACCATTAGTACTCACGTATGGTCTTTATTGTCGATGTCGAGTGAATTTTTAGCCAGAATTTGGAGAGAAACTCAAGCCAGATATTGCCTGTTGCAGTGAAAGAATAAGCTCAACATTCGATAAGTAATCGATTCAGAAAGTTCCGGTAAACGATCGACACCCATCAACAAACGAACCGATTTTTTATCATATTTTTGAAACGAATAGCCCAACTTCTTGATTAGTGAAAATAGAATTCAACACTTGGATTATCCAGCCAATTTAACCCAGTTTCGTGCAGTCCGGAAACCATTATGTCGGCTTGCGAGCGAAACTGCCAACTAATCTTTGCCATGTGCTTTTTGTCCCACTTTCCTATAGACCACCATGGTCTTGCCTTTCTTCAGGGGAGAAAACAACCCGTCGAGAAACAAGATTGTGGACGCTCCGAGGTGGAGGCAGTAGCGTAGATTGATAGTAATTCCTACGGCGGAAGTGGAATGGCCCATCCAGGGGGGGTCTTGTTTGGACAGTCTATGGTGGTAGGCGCCAGATGTGAAAATCCCAGCTAGTCATAAGTTAACACAAGCTTCTCTAGGATTTATTTGCTCCTAATGTTGCTGCATTCGTTCACATCCACCTATATCTACACATTCATGCCTTACTCGTTTTCCGTCAAATTGTAAGCATGAGCTGCAGCAATGCAAAGCAGTATGAAATTCACTACATACGGTTTTTCGGCACTTTAGTAATTGTTAGCACTGTTTCACTCAACGTGCGCATACACGTGATTTCCCTGAATGACGTCCACCAGCCGGCATGTTGAGTTATTCGCTACACACCTTCAAGAGTACATTCTCGAAATTTCTCTCCAACCGTTTTGACCGTTCATACCAGCTCGATTCTGGCCTGTCCTTACTGTCTGTGTTTCGCCGTTTGTACCGCAACCGGTCACCTATCATCAAATCATAACATTCACCAAACTTCGGGACTTCTTTCACTCTTTACGCAGTTCACAAATTAACTAATTCAATCGACTTTATTTTTGTCCTGCAGTACTCCATAGGAGGTTTCAAGGTCATCCACTGCCCTTCCTTGCAGATTAGCACTTTCATATGGAAAAAAATATTCTGGTGTCATCCCTTTCTGTTCAATACTGTTGGGAAAGTCGCTCGAAAAAAAAACCGAGAATATGCCGCTAACTGGCTACCAATCAAACGAGGACACGGTAAGAATGTGAGCCAATAGGAATCAAGCAATTCTAGCTGGACTCATCTCGCCTCATCATGAAGATTCTTGTGGGGAATTCTGTGATAATCCCATAAATACAGTTGTAGCTATGTATCTCTCTTTGTCTCAGTTAAAAGATACCGTGTCTTTTGATACACCATAGTGGGCGGGACAGTAAGCCAAGGGACTGGTGTAGAAATTGCGACCCACAGCAGGCAGACAGCGTACACAGATCACCACCATGGACACTGATGCTTCGCCGCCATATAAACATAATTTGCTTGAAGTCTTCCGTTGAAGAAAAGAATAGAAATGGATGGGGATGGGACCTAGTTCTAGCTTACCACAATCATTCCAAAGTGCTCTTTGTCTAGTTAAAAGATACCGTGTCTTTTGATACACCATAGTGGGCGGGACAGTAAGCCAAGGGACTGGTGTAGAAATTGCGACCCACAGCAGGCAGACAGCGTACACAGATCACCACCATGGACACTGATGCTTCGCCGCCATATAAACATAATTTGCTTGAAGTCTTCCGTTGAAGAAAAGAATAGAAATGGATGGGGATGGGACCTAGTTCTAGCTTACCACAATCATTCCAAAGTGCTTACACCTCCGTCCAGACAATCAGGATGAAAGTTGACACAAAACCAGATACATTCACCCCGTCCTCCCACCTCAGATCAACAATACATGAAAAAAACAGTGTTATTGAAAGCAGTCATGTGGTGCAACATAACCAGCCATGATGAAAGGTAAATCACAGAAATAAACAAGGCGCTACCGTGGCTGACGCCAATTCATGGATAACCAAATGGGCAGAAAAATTGATTGACAAGAAAATAGAATCTTCCAAAGTTCTGTATCAACACTCAGGTTGTGCGAAAAGTATATTAGCAGGTGCGTAAGAACAGCACCACGAAAGCTGTGTAATCTCGAAGGCAATTGTGAGAGGCACTTGGTTTATCGATTCAAGTCAAACCGATTCTTCACGGAGCCCATAACGTCTTCGGTAAGATCAACATCAGTCATGAGATCCGCCATGTTCTTCAGTCCTTCTTGATAACGACTGGTACTGCGGTGTGAATCACCTTCTTCGCTAGATTGATCTGTTTTCGAATATAGTGGGAAAATCAAAAGGGATAAGTTCAATTTTAAGCTATCTTTAAGGCGCCGAGCAAAATACGGTGGAAACGGGTTTCGGGGTTCTCGGTATTAAAATTACCTACTGATGAGTAGCCAGAAAAAAACGCCAAATGTGTGCACGAGGGCCTGACTACACCGACCCACCAAAAGCTACTCAGGCGTACCACTGAGCAAAACTAGGCATTATTCGGATTTGACAGCTGATGAATCTGTCAGCCTGCTTTCCTAGGTGATAGAAACCTCATTATTTGATTGACCCTCCAACAAGAACGAGTGTAGATGGAGGAATTTTCTGTTCTTCTGGGCCATTAGGAGCGGCTCCAAACAGGCATTCACCAAGTGTCCACTGAATCAGTCATCTAGCGTAACCGGTGATCAAGTACTTCACCTAGTGCTACCATACGATTCAATCAAAACTAGTCAAGATTCGCAGTTATATGCGCCAAAAACGGAAGAAAAGCCGTCATAGTGATACCTGCTCTATTTGTGTTGGGCATTCCGGTGCCAAGAACAAGAAAAACTACGAAGCGCGACTAGCAAGTCCACCATCCATGTACTAGCACGGATAGAAAATTACACTAACAGCATTGTGGATTTACGTTCACTTTCAACTCCAACTAATTTATCCCAGCATTTTGCTCGTCGATTGTCCGCGCTGCGCCCGTCGTCTCCGGAAACAGCCAACAATCCTCCGTCGGACGTGATTTCACCTGTTTCGACCTTGGCTTGACTCGGTAGTTCAGCCGCTTCTGCCTCTGCTTTTGTACTGTTGATCTGTGTTGTTTGTGAATATCTGATACTCTATTTAACACTACAATAACCAGGATCTTCAGCCTCACTTAAAGCCAAATAATGTACTTTATAGCTGCGACAATCGATGGAAATTTCGCGACTTAGTTATCTCCTACGTCCTCCTAAGATTTCATTTTGATAAATGATGAAAAACCTGGGGTCGCGTTACATCCGGTGGTTACCTACGCTCCCGTGCATGCGAATAGTACCTGCGAATCTTTGCAGCAAAATCTGCTCCATTCCAACTACGGGAATCATTTTGGACGAGCGAGTAGAGTAAAAGATCAAATTTACACATACATTAAATTTTCGTATCTTCCGCTGATCACAGTGAATAAGAGTGTGAATCAAAATGTAGGTTACAGTTGGCAAATCTGTTTACTAATAAACAAAATAATTGAGGATGGAATCATAAACGGTATACGTTGCTCTAAGCAGTGTTGTCACAATGGTTGCGGACGCAGGCCTAAAAGAGAACTGCTCTAATCGTATTGCACGAGGGAGCCAGTGCAGGCAGCTAGACAAAGTGCTGTTCGCAAATGGTGACAGTACATAAATTGCATTGTGCACGCGAAGATAACTCCTATTTACGAACTCGTCATGAAAATAGCTACCCTGACAGATATTCACAGGGGTTATTCCATCTCAAATAAAATGCTGGGATCGGATAGCTTAGCACGCTTGGACGGCTGAAATTATTGCATGATCCCACTGTACTTCGTAATCTGCGGCGAGATAGAGAGATATTGGTACTTGTTGGACCCAGCAGTGCTTGCATTTACTGTAAACGGTAAATACTGTCATACAGTATTGGACGATGCCTCTTTATATGAGATTTTCTTTCCTAATCTCTTGTACGCAGCCAAGACTATTAGGTCTTCATTGGGTATGCAAGTGATCGGTTTTGTCGCAACGCGGTGGTACCTCCCAAGGGTATTTCCAAGTACAGAGCAAAATTATTCGGACCGGTATTTACCTACATCACGGGTGACATGCTGCCCCGAGAAGGATGTGGTCTTTGAGTAACTTTGTACATGGACAGTTCCGCATGCAAAGCTGAGGCCCTAGGTGCGTGGCCAAAGTGAGAATTATGAGTAGCCATTCAGAAAGCGTTGTTCCAAACACCAAAAACGCCAGAAATTTCGTTGAATCTATACGAGTAAACACTTTAGAGTAAGATTCCCATAGTCCAATTATTAGGGAGCTGGGGTCAACCAACCCATGGGACTAATACTGTTGGACACTTGTGTGCGCGCAGAAGTGTCAGCGTGTGGTCAATAGTGTCCCGTTTGGTGAAGCGCCCTGCCTAATCTAAATGCTTCATAGTCGAATATCCCTTTGCTTAAAAATCTAAATCAGTACTGTATAAGATTATGTTGAAAAGTTTAGTTTCCATCAAGCTTGACGTGCATTTTAAGTACAACCGTACCGGAAAATAGGAGTGAAATGACTGAGTCTAGTCATCAGATCAGAGACAAATTTCAGTGCGTTTCAGAGTACCCTCCGGGGCGAACTTGTGCGCCCAACGACGGAGAAGTTGAAGCATTCCATTGAAGTGGAGAGGGGACAGCAGTCCGTCGTTGCAATCCCAACCAACCAGACTTTCCGTTTTTCACCCTTCTATTCCCTGGATATTTCGTCTTATTTGACAATATACATAGTACAGTTCACTCAACCTAGCAATTACTGATCAATATTCCAGATCGCTCTGATAGTCGTCCGACTATCATTACACGAAATCCCAATACAAATCCATATCAAAAACTGGTCAGTTCGCGCGTTAAAACCAGCCCTTCGATGGATACTTCGATTTACGTGGCAACAGCATCTCGAACAACAAAGTAACTAGATGGCCCTGCAAACAAGTCTCGAGTCCGCCACGCGGCAAAGACCCGAAATTGTTAGTGATCAGCGAGATCACATCGAACGGAACCAAACAAATCATGTGCATACAAATCATGCTAGTTGGTTACCATGACAAAGAACACGTGACTAAGCAGCCCAAATGCTTTTACTTTCACACTTATCAACAATGCAGTCAGCTATACCTCCGCAACCCAGAAAGAGCCAATCATGACATCGCGACACTCAAGCCACAAAAAGTATGCGCGACGACTGGGTACACCCAAATGAGTCATGACAGCACCAAAAATAATGATTGTACTTCCATAATCTCTTCCGCAATGTGTACCAAATGTGCCGTATTACCTCGATTCAAAACATGGTTGGTGCACTTTGGGTATGTCGGGGATTGATATGTGAACAATAAAATTATCGAGAGAAAAAACACGTTAGGACCTTGACCGTCACATAAGAAAAATCGAAGTGAATCATAATTTGCTAAAGCTCACTGGGTAGATCATTAACAGAAGATTTAGCAGGACCAGATGAACCTTTGGGTGCCGGAACAATGCGAATGGTTCGAGCTGCTTCAACCTCCGACGTCGGATTTGAAAGAACATCAGGTTGACTTGGTGCTGTGAATGGCTGGTCCGGTGACATAGGAGGAGCAGATGGTTGATTATTAGTCATGAAGTCGAACCCGATCCCACCTGCGGGTGGTGGACAATACGGTGTCTCTTCCGGTTGCCACCCGGTTCCAGGTTGACCAAACCCGGGAGTAACATAGGGTTGTCCTGGGACGCCATAGGGAGTTTGGCCAGATGCGGGGAAATCTTGCTGGGTAGCCCACCCGAAACCCAGAGGTGGTCCTGACATTGGTTTCAGTAAAATCAATCACAGAAAATGAAAGGAAAGCTGAAAAATCGAGAAACAGCAATAAATGAATTACACACGAGGTAACACGGAAACAGCAACCGTTTCAATGCACAGATGCGCATTCGGCTGATGATGACCCCGACTGAACCGAATATCACAGTGGCCGCACTTGTAATCGTCATCGTCAGCATGACATCAGTGTTCAACTCCGATGCCTCGCTGCCGTACCCTAAGTACACTGTTTTTCCGGCCCCTGTAGTGGTTGATTCGGCTGTCGACCCGACCACTTCATCTCGCGATTAAATCAACTACCATATGGTAGTGAACGAGTAAAATCAAGCTGAGATGTTTTAAACACAGAAGCGGAAGCAACGACGGGTCAGTGTCAGCAAATGACCTCGTACGTGGCTTGTAACATTCGCGGGTTTAACTGACGAATGTTTTTGCCTAATGGACGCGTACTCGTCATTAAATAACTGTAACACAGCAATTGACTTATATGCGTGTAGCCAGTCGCGGCATATGAAATCCTAACTTTATTCGGTTTCCTTTGAACGATGATTCAGTTCTGACTCAACCATTTTGGATGGACCGGAACATTAGTACCTGACTGCTAAGGCAGGAGAAAGGATATGTGAGTTCAAGAATACTGTGGAGCGTAGTTGTCCGAACGAAATTGCCACCGGCGGCATTTTCGCAGATGGACAGACAATTCTTTGGAGATGTGGTACCAGTGACATCCTCAACATCGTACAGAGCTCCAAGCAACAGAAAACATGTTGGGCGTTGAACAAAACCTCCACAGATGTTTCGGATGGTCACAGTCGATAAATTATCGGGAGCGTTTTCACAAGCTTCTCAGTTACCCTTATTTGGTTTTGTTCAGTTGCAGACGACTGTGCTAAACCGAGAGCGAGGAATAGATAGCCAATACAATGGCACAGAAGGCTCAACAGGAAGAAGTATTACCTGTCTCCTAGATACTCGCCGAAAGGGGGTGCTACAGCTGAACTATTACTTTTTCTCACCTCTCCCACTCATGCGTGCACAGCCAGAAGTTTTGTAGTTTAGTGAACAGAGACGCGACATGATGTGATGACGTCCGATTTGACTGTACTGGAAATCGGTCTTGCATCGTCGTGCACGACACTTTGGAAAACGTCCTTTCAGGTTCTTTCAGGCAGCCCACGAGATGCTTTCCAAACGTAGCCAGCTTGACAAACAACAGATAAAAGAGTAGGCACGGAAAAATGAAGAAAACAAAGATAGACTACCACAGGACTCAAACTTAGCAGGGTTATGAAGACCAACATCGAGTTTGGTGAGCAGCAGGTTTTTCTCAACCCATTAGGCGGCTTTCTAGCTGTAGGTTCCCCTTTGAAAGACAAGTCTGAACAAACGCGTCCATTCTGCAGTTACTGTGAAATTGATATCAGGTAGTCTTTGTATATCGAACAAACCTATCAAGAAATCTAGTCTGACGAAAAGTTCCACCAAAAAAGTCTATTGTTTGGCCTCTAAGTTGCGTGAAGCTTTTTCTCATCGTTTTGGAAATTCATTGTGTTGGAAGTGTCTCACTTTATTTCGCAGTAGTAGTTCTAGGTTAGTTGACTTTGTTTGCTATTTGTATGTGGTTGTGGAAACTCTGCTGTAAACGGTGCCTAGGCAGAACGTTCCAGTTTGCTCATAGGATCTGGTACCGTGGGATCCATCCGTCCAGAAACCTGATAATCGCATTCATTTCCGAAATCTTGCTAAATTCAACGGAGGCATTCAGTTTATGAGCAAAGGAAGATCTTTGGACTGATATAGGCACCCGATTGTACTCGGAAAAAAGTACCAGATAATCGTTCAGCTGTAACACCATCTTGGTGCCTAGCTGCCATGCCACCAGAAGGAAGCATAAGGGCTGGCATACTGCCAGGTCGCGGGAGGTCGAAGGCAGATGTCGGGTTTCAACCACGGACCTTCCAGTCAGTAAATTCGCGCTCTGACCACTAAGCCATCTCACCCAACAGCTGTAGTGGTAATCCGGTGCACAGGGAATTTGCACGCTTATGGTGGTCATTCATTTGTGCACCTCAAGACCGCATAGCTGCTGCTGCCTTCCAAATGGAAGGTGTTAGAGCATGTTGTAGGTCAGTCCCACTCGCGGTTCATTATATCACACAGTTAGTTCACTGGATCAACCGTGCTCGCTTACTGAGCATTCAAGCAAGCTTAAGTTTAGAATGTTTCGAGTAAGATACTTCACAACGCCGCGAAATTATTCTGATTACACATTGAAAATTGATGCAGCCGTTAGCTTTTCCACTTTGCCAGGATGAGTAATGAAGTAGACGCCACTTGTGTGCCTCAACGTTTTGATATCATATGTAAAAAAATTTCGCCAATCAAGAAAAAAAGGAGGCAAACTGAATGTCGTGGAATAAGGATCATACACTGCGCATCTTGTACCCAACCACACACTGACGATGTCCCCTCGTTTGATGACGAAACGTTTGCAAGTTAACTGCCAAGCTCGGCGAACATATCAACAGCCACCTGATTAACAACTAATAAACGCACTCAATATTTCGACACGATTTCAACTGCTAACACTTAACACAATTTCTAAAGTACAAAGCGATCCTACGCGAATCAAAAAATAAGACAAAAAATTGACTATTTATTCTAAGGGCTGTTCCCGGAGCCAGATTTCTACCGTGATACCAATCAATACAGAAATTTGGAGGCCACGCCTAGCATTTCCCATCAGGTCCTACAGTAATTCCCATCTCTAGGGAAGGCAAACCAGGACTCCACAGAGTTTTCGCCCTGAAAACTGAGCGTATTTTCCAACGACCGTAAAACTGGCTGACTGTCCAACAGTACAGAAACCCACGCGGTCCAACAGTCACAGAAAAACTTTGGAAGACATGCGTTAGAGGAACACAGATCAAAGTATCCATGGCGTTTAAACTTTTCGACATCCAGTTCACTTAGCTGAAATTACTCGAAACTACTGAAAGCTACTCGACAATCTTTAAGGTCACTTTCAGAGTGCGATAAAAAACACGAAGCTAGACTTTACATTGTATTTTTAGGCCAGTGGTACGGACATTAGTAGTTATGCAATTATCAACTGTTGTGAAATATCCATGCATCCTTTACTTTATTGAACAGTCTTGTTAGCAGATGTAACAATGAATTTGCCTTGAAGCAACACCAAGAAACTTCGGATGTGAATTTCAGAAAGCTAAACTGAACAATGTAGCATGTGATGTTGAAAATCGAGGAAACGAGCTAAGTCAAAGGTCTTAAGGACTAACTTCTAGACGCTCCCACTGTTATTTGATCAAATTTTCGCAGCCTTGTACATTGGAGCTGTATCACATATTGCTCATGAAGGAAGGCTACTTATCAGTGGTGACCCCTTTCTTTAGGACTACCATACACACCAAAACTTGGTGTAATCCCACAACTTTCCAAACCCGACACAATTCGCTCGAAAGATATACCGAGAGAATTTTGGCACAAACGGTTTCAGTGGTCAACCACAACTCTCGTGACTCTAAACATCAATGTGGTTTGTGGTGAATCACGTGCGAACTCACTATCAACAATATGGTTAGTCATTTCTATGGTACCATAATACGACACGTGAACATACCTCATACAGTAGAAAAAAAAAGTTTTGAATGCTCAGAAAAAATCGTAACAGAATGGTTCCGGTATTGAAATAAACAAGAAATACGGTTTATTTCACCGCCGGAACATGCAAAAGCATGAAGCTGACAGCAAACCAAGAGAGAAAAGTCAAAGAATCACAATGTAGGAAGCAATTTAATCACAAAGGAAGTTCCAGAGATATGACCAACTCCACACATTTACATAGTTATGGTATCTAGTTTCCGACGAATTCATCATCATCATCACCACGCGACGGCCGATGTGACATGAGTTTATTTGTGTATGTGCAATTCATGGTTGTACGTGGGCTGGGATACTGCCAGGGCGCCCACACCTAGACAGGAGGACGATTAAGGTCCTCAACCAAAGCCTTTGACTCAAAAGCCTAACCGCAAGGCAGCGGTGTTTGGCGGGAAATGCAAATGCATTACCATTTCTACGGAACAAGTCGCCACATGTTCCAACCCCCAACCTGGAGGGCCGACGAATTCAGTGAACACTGGCTGGAATGCGATTGCCTGGTTGATAATAATGACTGCTCATGAAAACAACTGGGATTAGCAGATCGAGCTTAAAGCTTCTGCATGAAGGAAATGACATGTTCTACCACCCTAGGCCGCATTGACCACTCAGTTTTGCATAGGTTGGCGACCGAGCCCCTGCTAATAAGGCAGTAAACGAGACTAGAATTGGAGTAGTAACGAGTTTGTCACGGTTTTCAGGGTTCAATTTCAGGTGTAGAAGACCACAAGTTCAACAGCGTACTACGTTCGAATCACTACCGAAGGTAAACGTTATTTCACGAGTCAGTAATGTTTGCCATGGGAAAATCCTGTTTAAATCAAGATTTGTAAACCGTCCAGGAGGCCAACCTCCTACAGGTCGAAACCGACATCTCCATGATTGTTATAGGAGAACAGAGGTCGACGTAAGTACGCCAGGCGAGAACCACCGTGTATTAACACTAGGCAATAGACCTAAAGACTTAGAGACATGAAAACCGAAGGCAAGTTTAGTTTATCTAATCATGCGTAGTTCTGAAAACGCAGCTTAACAGAGTCGGAATCAAGATGAATCAGCTTAACTGCTCTTCCCAAACTAGTTAATTCAGGTTACTCCCACCACAAATTTGAAGCAACGTTACCCAAACAGTTAAAATTTTTGACCCAATCAAAGGTAAAAATGGAGGCTGTATGCCTATCAAAGCATAACCATAAAATAATAATCGCCCGCTGGAACACTCTTACGGTACCTAGCTAACATGATACGAGGACTGGTATACTGCCAAGTTCCCAGGCCTAGAAAGGAGCAGTCGAGATGCGGAGGTTGGGTTTGAACAATGGACCTTCGGATCGGTAAGTCACGCG